AAAAAAAAAGGTCAAGAAGGGAGAGGGTTGACATGTCATGGAGTTGTTAACCAATGTCATAAAAGAATATGTGTACTGACTGTTCAATGAGAAACTATTTGTTCTGTAAACCTTCACTTGAAGTACAATTAAAAAAAAAAAATCTTAGTGAGAATAGTTTTGGAAGAGTAGTGGGACTGGATGTGTAAAGTAGGGTGGTTTGTGGATGGTAGGCAAGGAACAAATGACAATAGGAGGACTATTCGTTGAGGTTTGGCTGTGATTGGGAGAGAGAGACAAATGAAGAGACAGGTTGTGGCATTAAGATGAAAGATGTTTAAATGCTAATGTCAAAGAGCTGCTAGAGAAAGAGAGTAAAGAAACACAACAGATGGGGCATTATCAATATTGCAAGGTCTCTGAGAAAGCTAATTGAATGGAATGTAGAGTACAGATTAACAAATTGATACTTGGAGCATCTCTTACATTTTAATAGAGGTGAAAGAGAAAAAAGGGTAAGTGTGGAATCAGTAATTTTTATAGATTTGGTAGAGAGAAGTTGGATTTCTGATTGTTGGCTTCTGCTTTCTCTTTGAAATAAGTGGTGACATCATCTGCTCAGGGAATGGGGGGAGAAGGTCAAATCTGAGGTAGGGAGAACATTTAAAATCATCATTGTGGTGAGTAAAGATGAAAGAGTAGAGAAACAAAGGCTTGTCAGGCAAGGTTAGGTCTATTTGAGAATAGTGATTATGGTTATGAACACATTTATGTATGTTTCTTCAGTACAGTCACATTCTGGGTACAGAGAAATTTAGAGTAGGTCATGGTGGGTTGGGTTTTGGCCTATGAGATGACAAAAGGAAATGTGAATAGTCAAAGGATGTGGTATAAAATCTACATTATGTAGTGGGTGATTGATGGTTAGGGAATAATTAAAGTAGCTACTGGACTGGAAGTCTAATGGTGATCAAAAGAGGTATGGTGAGATGGTAGAGTATGCTGGAAAGATAAGAGGTTATGATCAGACAGTGGTATGCATGCATTTTAGGAATTTAGACATGATAAGATCTAAAATGTGACCAAAATGGAAAATAGAAATCACTGAAGGTGATGAGGTTGGTGAGCTGAAAGGCCAGAGTTCCTTGCCACTGACTGTCCTCTCTGTCTTAAATGCACTTTCTTTCTTTCTTTTTTTAAATGATGTATTATTTATTTTGATGAAAATATACACTTTTCCACAATGTCTACATGTACAGTTCAGTGACATTGATTACATTCTTCAGGTTGTGCTACAATCTCCCTATCCTTTTCCAAATTATTCTACCACCATTATCTTAAACTCACTGCCCCCTAAGCTTCCCATCCAGTCTTGCAAGTTGCTGTTGTCAGTCTGATCTCACATGGATAATTCTCTAAAAGAGGACAATGCTTAAGGCAGACATACCTTTCTAATTAAGATAAACTATTTTTGGTTCAAAGAAGACTTCAGGGGATATTTTAGGTTTAAGGTTTAAAGTTTAAAGATTATCTCAGGGCAATAGTTTTTCGGGGTACATCCAACCTTAGTGGCTCCGGAAAGTCTAGATTCCATTAAAAATTTGAAATTCTGTTTCACAGTTTTCCCCCTCCTATAGACTCCTTTTTTTTTTTTTCCCCTGTCCCCCTCCTGCCTTCTAATCCTTGCCAACTGGGTTCGTGTGCCCCTTTAGTCTCATTTTGTTTTATGGGGCTGTCTAATCTTTGGCTGAAGGGTGAACCTCAGGAGTGATTTCATTACTGAGCTAAAAGGGTGTCCGAGGGCCGTATTCTCAGGATTTCTCCAGTCTCTGTCAGGCCAGTAAGTCTGGTCTTTTTTGTGAGTTAGAATTTTGTTCTTCATTTTTCTCCAGCTCTTTCTGGGACCTTCTGTTGTGATCCCTGTCAGAGCAGTCAGTGATGGTAGCCAGGTACCATCTAGTTGTACTGGACTCAGTCTGGTGGAGGCCATAGTAGTTGTGGTCGATTAACCCTTTGGACTGATCTTTCCCTTGTGTCTTGTTTTCTTCATTCTCCCTTGCTCCCAAAGGGGTAAGACCAGTGGAGTATCTTAGATGGCCGCTGATAGGCTTTTAAGACCCCAGACGCTACTCACCAAAGTAAAATGTAGAACATTTTCTTTTTAAACTATGTTATGCCAGTTGAGCTAGATGTTCCCCAAGACCATCATCCCCACAGCCCTCAGCCCAGTAATTCTATCCCTCAGGGAGTTTGATGTGTCTGTGGAGCTTCCATGACCTTTCCTTGTACAAGTTGTGCTGGTTTCCCTAGTATTGTGTACTGTCGTACCTTTACCAAAGTTTCCACTTGTCTATTTAGCGTTAAACGCATTTTCAAGTCTTCTAAATGCTACGCACCAACCAACCAACCAACCAATCAAAAACAATAAAACTTCTCTCAATCTTTATTCCTACCTTCTGTCGTCAGCCTTTTAGCTATTGTCTTATTTCCCACTTTCCTTTTAAAACCAAGCTTCTTATTTAGTCTGAAACTTATTTGATAAGCTCACCACTTACTGGTTCTTTGTAAAACTCAATTGTATGTAACAGTCTTTATCCTGCTTAGTTCATCTTTATTTTTTAGAACTGCTCTTCTTTGGCCTTCACAAAATTACTGTTGGTTCTCTTCCTAATATGGACTATTCTTTTTGTTTGTTTTTTGTTTTCACTGGTTCCTCCTCCTTTGCCCACTACTCAAATCTTAATATTCCCCAAGTGCTGTTCTTGGTTCTCTTTTACTCCTTAATTAAAGACTTTCTTTAGGTGATCTCATCAGCTCCTTTGTCTACAACCACAACCTAGATCTCTATTTCTGATTTCTTAACCATGTCTCTTAACTACTTACTGTCAAGTACCTACTACCTGGCTCTTGATTTTAATATATCCAAAACAGAATCCATTATATATACTCCACTCCTCCTTACCCTGAGACAAGACAATATACAATACAACACAACTTTTGTATCTTAATTAATGGCATCCTGTCCATCTTGGCTTCAAAGCTAGAAACCTATTGATATTTTTGACTTTTTTCCTCAACCTTATTGTCTGGAAAATCTTGAATCTGGTCTATCTAATGTAATCCCTACCACAATTGGGGTTCTTTTCTCTCTTGGTTGGCCTCTTAAGGTTTATTTCAGCCTTCCTATAATCATCATCATCCTAAATAAAAAGTAAAGGTGTTCTTGTCATTCCCCTGCTTAAAAACTTCTGAATCACTCTTCCTTACAGTGTGAAACCCAAATGCAAGGCAAATACGGTTTTTGAGAATCTTGTTCCCTTGATCTAGAACTAGTATAACTCTCTACAACCCTTTCCCTAGCCCTTTTTAGCACGTGTTTCTCATTAATACCTGCAGCGTTTGCCTTTGTATATTCAGTGTTTGTCTTTGCTTGCATGTTTTCATCTAAGTGCTACTCCCTCTATAAAACAAAACAAAACTGAGAAGATGTTATGTCTTTAAGACCTAGCTTAGATAGGACCTCCTCAGTCACGCCTTCCTATTTTCCCCGTAAGTCAAGTTGGTCATCCTGTATTAGAAACTTTATTTCTTGGAAATAATAACCTATCATGTAATATTTGTTTGGATCAGTTTCTTTTACTAGACTGAGCTTCTTGTGGACGTGGACATGTCCATTTTCTTAGCGCTTGTTCCAATAGATTACAGTAGGTGCACAGTGATAATTGATGAATTAATGAATAAACACTTAGAACATTTAAATTTGTAAAGTTCCAGTAATGTGTAAAATGAATGATACAAAAAAGTACATTTTTTTTTCCTTCCCTAAAGCAAATGGGGGAGAAAAAGTCATTTTATTAGTGCCCTAAACAGTATCTAAAAGGCTAGGGTGAGAGAAGTGGGTGTTAGGGATTAATAGATAAGTGGTTTAATTACTAAGTAAATGACTGTAGGATGTTTATTTGTTCATTTACTCATTCTTTCAACCTTAGGTGTTGAATGTGTGCTATCTGCATGGAACTGTATTCTCTTCCAGAGGCTCACAGACTTTCTCATTCCCAGTATCCTTAGTGTCTGAGTAACTTTTTTCACAGTGCCATCTGGACCAAAAGAAGTATCTTAACAATTCTGTTGATGTGGTAGCTAGAGCCAAACAATTTAGGTAGCCGTTTGAAAAAATAAGACAATTTATTGAAAGGAAAATATTTTTATTTCATTATTAAATATAATCACAATTACTACTTACTAATAGGATTTGTGTGCCTGTTGGGTACTGTACAACTTCTCACACCTGGAATCAGAATGGTCACTGCCACACTTAGTACTTGTTTTATGTATATATTTGGTACTTTTATCACAGCAACCACTGACCACCCAGCTTCTCAAAGAAATGTTGTTATTGAAAGGAATGTAGTGTGATCCAGTATTGAAAAGGAACTGCCTTAAACTAGTAGATATTATAGTGTACAATTGATGCCAAGTATTATTGTATTTCCCTGAAAAATTTAAACTACTTTGAGTGCTCTTGTGAATTTGCTGTAGTACCCTGGAGCATCTTGGTGCACAGTTTCAGAATATATACAGTTTTCTTATGAAATTTCGCATAATTGATTTATGATTATTCTAGCTGTATACTTACAAAATAGTTTATATATTAGACACAACAAATATTTGTGAATGAGCTAAGAAATTTAAAAGAAAACACTAAGGGAATTATAATGAACTATAATTTTCATAGGCTTAATTTTAATGGACTAAGTTTACCCATTATTACAGTATTTGAGAAAGTCTAATACAATAAGCTTTCATCTAGATTTAAAAATTCTTAACATTTTGATATAGTTGCTTTATGGTTTTTATTGAACCATCTGGAAATATGTTATAGAAATAATCTCATTCATCTCTAAGTAGTTAGGTACTCATCTCCTAAAAACGGTCTACAGTGTCGTTATCATAGCTAAGAAAATGCTATCCTCATCTAATATCCACTAATGGTCTGATATTCCTTGGGTTTTTTTTTGTTTTTGTAGTTTTATTTTTTATATTGATAAGATTTGTTTTTTGTTATTGTTTAAATAGTGGCCAATCCGCCATGGTATAGTTGAAGATTGGGACTTGATGGAAAGGTTTATGGAGCAAGTGATCTTTAAATACTTGAGGGCAGAACCTGAAGACCATTATTTTCTTTTGGTAAGTATAAATTATAATTTCACTGAGGAAATTTTTAAAGAAACTTAATAAGAGCATTTGCATCACACCTGTTTTCAGTAGGGTATACTTTACTGTTTGTCATATCTCTAAAGGACTTTGTTATAAAGCTGTATTGTCTTTAAGACCATTCTGCTATGGACTCCAATAGAGTAGTTATATATTGAAGCACAAAGTAGGCACTTAAGAAGTGCTTTTGATAATTAATATGTAATCTTTATGACAGGAACTTTTTTAAAACTAGATTATCATTTCTTTTGTAATTCTCAATAACAAAAATATAATTTCATTTTTAAACCTTTTTAATCAAAGCAGTACATGGTCATGGCTTAATCTAGCCAACGCTGCAAGACTTAAAATAAAAAGAATAGCACTCTCCTTTCTCATCTCTTCCAACTCTTGATTCGTATGCCCTAGATGCAACTACTTTTAATTTTTAGAGATTTTTTTCCTGATAACTTATCTCATAAATTTAAATAGTATGTTTCTTTTATTTCTTTTTTTATATATTAGACACTATGTTTTACTGTCTTACTAACATTCTGGGAAGAAAGATGAAGGTTTTGTTCTTCTCCTTTTATCTCCTCTCCCTCAACACAAAATTCTTTTTCTTCTCCTCCCTGCAGTACAGTTACATCACAATTTTTGGTTAGATCAGTATCTATATATTATTACGATTTGTGAATATTATTTATGGCTAGGACTTAAACATAAAGCCGAAAGATTTTACAGTGAACAACCATCTAGCCACAACTAGAGTTAATAATTCGCATTTTACTATAATTCCTTTATGACATATATGTTCATATGTTTATCCATCAGTCTAGTTTTTTGAATTATTTCAAAATGACTTGCAGATAGGAGTCATTTCACCTCTAAATACTTTAGCATGCATATTATCAAATAGAGTTCAGTATTGTTAATATTTTTATTTCTTTCGATATAAAATGTACGTAGTATGAAATACACAGATTTTTTTTTTTTAATTTTTTTTTATTGTACTTTAGATGAAGGTTTACAGAACAAATAGTTTCTCATTAAACAGTCAGTACACATATTGTTTTATGACATTGGTTAGCAACCCCATGACATGTCAACACTCTCCCTTCTCGACCTTGGAGGACCCTTTTTCTGGTGAAAATATACATAGCCAAAGTTACACCATTTCAAAAGTTTCTACGTGTATAATTCAGTGAGATTGATTACATTCTTCCAGTTGTGCTGCTATTCTCCCTATTCTTTTCCAAATTATCCCATCACCGTTATCTTCAGCTCACTGCCCCCTAGGCTGCCCATCAAACTTCTTGAGTTGCTGTTTTCAGTTTGATCTCACATAGATAATTCTTTTTTTCTTGTACCTTAGATGAAGGTTTGCAGAACAGATAGTTTCTCATTAAACAGTTAGTACACGTATTGCCCTATGACAGTGGTTAACAACCCCCCGACATGTCAACACTGTCCCTTTTCAACCTTGGGTTCCTTATTATCAGCTTTCCTGTCCCTTCCTGCCTTCTAGTCCTTGTCCCTGGACTGCTCTGCCTCATCAGTTCCGTTTTGTTTTATGAGGCTGTCCAATCTCCGGCTGAACGGTGAACTTCGGGAGTGACTTCACCACTGAGCTAAAAGGGTGTCTGGGGGCCATACTCTTGAGGTTTCTCCAGTCTGTCAGGCCAGTAAATCTGGTCTTTTTTTTGTGAGTTAGAATTTTGTTCTACATCCTTCTCCAGCTCTGTCCAGGACCATCTATTGTGATCCCGGTCAGAGCAGTCAGTGGTGGTAGCCAGGCACCATCTAGCTGTACTGGACTCAGTTTGGTGGAGGCCGTGGTAGCTGTGGTCCATTAGTTCTTTGGACTGATAGTTTCCTTGTATCTTGTTCTCTTCATTCTCCCTTGCTTCCAAAGGGGTGATACCAGTGAAGTATCTTAGATGGCTGCTCACAGGCTTTTAAGACCCCGGGTGCTACTCACCAAGGTAGAACGTAGACCATTTTCTTTATAAACTGTGTTATGCCAGTTGAGCTAGATGTTCCCTGAGACCATAGTCCCCGCAGCCCTCCTCCCAGCAGTTCAGTCCCTCAGGGAGTTTGGAAGTGTGTGTGGAGCTTCCATGACCTTTCCTTGTACAAGTTGTGCTGGCTTCCCCAGTATTGTGTACTGTCTTACCCTTCACCAAAGTTACCACTTACCTATTATCTGTTTAGTTCCCCCTTCCCAATACCTCGTAACCAACAAAGATTGTTTCTTTTTGTGAAATACACAGATCTTAACCTTACCATTCTGTGGGTTTGACCAGGACTTGGCAAACTCTTTCTCTAAAGGACCAAAACCAAACCAAACCCACTATCCTTGAGTCGATTCCAACTCACAGCGACCCTATAAGACAGAGTAGAATTGCCCCATAGGGTTTCTAAGGTTGTAAATCTTTTCTTTTTTTTTTCCACTGTTTAAATTTTATTGAATAATTTGACTAAGTGGCTTGTTGTTGTTGTTAGGTGTTGTTGAGACGTTCCCAACTCATACAAAAAAAAAACCTGTCGCCATCGAGTCGATTCTGACTCAGCGACCTTATAGGACAGAGTAGAGCTTCCCCATAGAGTTTCCAAGGAGCGCCTGGTGGATTTGAATTGCTGACCTTTTGGTTAGCAGCCATAGCACTTAACCACTACACCACCAGGGTTTCCTTTCAACTCATAGCGACCCTATATACAACAGAACTAAACACTTGCCTGGTCCTGCGCCATTCTCACAATCATTGCTATGTTTGAGCCCATTGTTGCAGCCACTGTCAGTCCCATCTGGTTGAGGGTCTTTCTCTCTTTCGTTGACCCTCTACTTCACCAAGCATAACGTCCTTCTCCAGGGACTGGTCCTCCTGATAATGTGTCTAAAGTACGTGTTACAGATTGAATTGTGTTTCCTAAAAATGTATATCAACTTGGCTAGGCTATGATTACCAGTATTGTGTGGTGTCCATTTTGTGATCTGATGTGATTATCCTGTGTGTTGTAAATGATGTTAGTGAGGCAGTAAGGCTGTAAATCTTTATGGAAGCAGACTGCCACATCTTTCTCCCACAGAGTGGCTGGTGAATTCAAACTGCTGGCTTTTTTTGATAAGCAGCAGAGCGCTTTAACCACCGTGCCACCAAGGTTCCTGTCTAAGGGACCAGATAGCAAATATTTTGGCTTTATGCGTCAATGTGGTGTCCGTTGCAGCTACTCAACTCTACTGTTATAGCACAAAACCAGCTAAAGACAGTATGTAACTGAATGGGTATGACTGTGTTCTATTAACGTTTTATTTACAGAAATGAGTAGTGGGTTATATTTGGCCTGTAGGAGGCAGAATGTAGTTTGTCAACCACTGGTTTTGACAGATCCGTACATCTGTGTAACCTAAGCCCTTATCAGGATATAGAGCATTACTGTCAGCCTGAAAAGTTTTCTCATGTCATTTCCTACTTAGTCCTTGCCCCTGTGTACTGTAGGCAACCACTGTTCTGAATTTTTTCCACCGTAGATTAATTTTGCCTGTATTTGAGTTTCATATGAATGGAATTGTACAAAATGTGCTCTTTTGGGTAAGACTTCTTTCACTCAGCATAATGTTGAGATTCATCCATGTTGTTACATTTATTAGAGATTTGTTGCTGGGTAATAGTATTTCATTGTATGAATATATCTCACTTATTTTCCTGTTGATGGTTACTTAAGCTATTTCTAGTTTTTTACTATTATGAATGTTTTGGTTATTGTGAATATTCTTGTCCAAGTGTTTTGTGGACGTGTTTTCACTTCTCTTTTGTAAGTACCTAGATATTGCTATGTCATAGTGTAGATGTATGATTGACTTTATCAGAAACTTCCAGAACTTTTTCCAAGAGTTCATACCTTTTTACACATGCACCAACAGTGTGCGAGAGATCCGGTAGCTCCATATTCTATCCATTATTTGATGTTGTCAGTCTTTAATTTTAGCCATTCTGGTGGTGTGGTACCCTGATGATGTTTTATTGTACATAAAATTTTTGTTTTGCCTGGCATTTTTAATTCAATTGCCGTGGTTTTTTAGTTTGCTTAATTTTATATGTATCCATCACTAAATTATCTCCAAACTCTTGAACATGGTTCCAGAACTCTTCTAAATAGTAGATTAGCTGTTAAGTATTTTATATGTGGTAAAATGTAGTTTAGCTATTAAAGATTTTATGTATGGGATGAGTCTACTCCTAGTTTTTGGCTTTTTACTTTATGATAGCTTTTGAAATTAAAAAAAGATTTAATTTGTAATTAATTAAAGTTTAATCAATCTTTCCATTTATGACTTGTGCTCTTTAAATTTAAGGAATCATTCCTTAACCCAAGGTCGAAAAGATAATTCTTCCATATTTCTTAAAGTTTAAAAGCTTTGCCTTTCACTTTTGAATATTTAAGATAAATCAGAGGATCAGATTGTTAAATTAGAATCAAAAGAATCAGAGATCTTCCTCAGTTTCAAGCTTTAATAATTTAAAGGATTCACATAATCATGAGGCGTAGGTGAAACATGAAGTCTAGGATTGCCAGCACTGTTCCCTAGGGCATTTCTTGCCTCATTAGCATATGTCTGGCCAGATTTAACTTATACGATTTCTGAATGATAAATGCAGTCACATCGTTTACACAGAAGAGAGCTGTGTAAACATCTCCATTTTATGTTCTAACAGTTAGATAGCTTAAGCAACATTTTCCAGGAAGCCATGCCATAAATCTGTAGAATCTTGGCTTATTCACTATATTCCTAGATAGACGAGTACATCCTGCTAAAATCATTCCATAGATGAGGATTCTTCCACTAGCAGATATCATTGGTGTGTTTGCCTGGAGGTTTGTCATTTATAAAACCATACGTATAAAGTGGTTTGCCTTGGTAACCTTTCTTTAACCTTTCTTTCTTTTCTATCTTTCTTGACTTTCTTGCCTGGGACATTCTGTTGGTAATTCTTTTCTTCTCAGTGTTTAATCTATATGAGTAATGTGTTATAAGGATTCAGTTTCTTTTTAAATGTGAATAACCCTGTTGTTTTCTTATATTTATAGGTCTGTTTGAATTCTCAGTAGTCTTCTTTGGTCTGTGTGTCTTTGTACCTCTAAGTGTAATGCCTTTTAATTATGTTTTAAATAAATTACATCTCATTTAAAAATTACGTATAAAGTTATCAAAATAATCTAATATTACCTATTCAATTCAATAGACTGAACCTCCACTGAATACTCCAGAAAACAGGGAATATACTGCTGAAATAATGTTCGAGTCATTCAATGTTCCAGGCTTGTACATTGCTGTGCAGGTAAGCAAGTTTGTATTTACTTAAGCTTGATTCTTAAATTTTAATCTGGCTTAATTTACTCCTGAAATACATAATTTGTTTCTTTTTTTTCTGCCAAGCCTTTAAACATAACTTGAGAGCGTATATCATAGCTCTCTCCTTAAATCAATAATTTAGGAACCATTTTATGGGAAATGGAGATACTTAGTCAGCAACAGGGAAATTTTAAAGCAAGTTTAAGTTAATGGTCGGATACTTCAAGGCCTTTCATAGGGTAAAGAGAAGGGAGCTAATATTTATTGAATGCTTACTTTGTGCCAAGAACTTTATGCACATGTACATTTATCCTCATAACAGTCAATGCGGCCTTTTTCCCCCCATAAAGGCCAGGTATATTTGATATACCTGTATCTTGTATATATACCACTGGTCGTAAATCACTGTAGTATTGTATTGCACTTAAGGTGTATGTAGATCTGTATGAAACAACTTCTATCTCTCAGTGTCAGAACTCGTCTCTTACTTGTTTTAACCCCATAGCAAATGTGGTACCTAACATATCACAAGTGCTTTAATAAGCCATAAATGGATTAACGATTCATGTTAATTATAGGTATTTTTATTTTTGTTTTGTATAGAGGGAAAAAAACTGAAGTTTTAGGGTAGCTTACTCAAAGTTAAATGGTGAGCTGTGATACAAGCTGAGGTCCATCTGTATTTTTTTGGTAACAGACTAAGTTTATATAACTCCAGAGTATACAGGACCAAAAAATGATAATTACTAAGAGGAGTATTTTGGCTTAGGATAGCAAAGAATTTTTTAATGGTCAATGTAATCCATAAATTAATTAGCTGCCTTTTGAGTTTTCTGTTGCTGAAAATATTTAAGAAATTTTATGAACATGCAGAAGCTTATAGAAGGGAATGTATGCTTGGGTTGGAGGCCTGTTTTAGCTCTTAGAATCGGAATAAAGTGAGGTGTTGTGGGGAATTCATCTTTTATTAGTGAGTCTTTGCTTCTTAACTTCAAACTAAATATAACAAACTCATGTTTTGCAATATCGTCAGGTATAGTTTACTTTAAAACAGTGGTACTTAGAGCTTTGTTTCATTCTTCTGGAGTCATAACTTGATATCTCAGTGATTTAGTGATCCAGAGTGCTCTTAATGTCCTCATTTAGTCTATTCTGTTTGTTTTGTTGTTCAGTACTCTTAACATGGTTTGCTGATACATACCTATTCTAATTTGGGATCTTAGCTTTTACAAAAGACTTTTAAAAATAACCAAAAAACAATTTCTTGTTGTTAATGAGGGTTTTGGTCTTATCTAAAAAGGAAGGATAATTTCTCACCGTGAAGTCTAAACATTAAATTTTATAATATCAATATGGAATTTTTCATTGTAAGACCTTCAGAAATATTGTATAGTTCTGTCAGCCTACACGAATTATGGTGTGATCCTGTGTTAATATAGGAGGGTAGCCTAGATATCTTTCCAGGTCCCTTTCGACTATCGTATTGCAAGTAGGTAAAATAAAGCCGGTTTAGCTCTGTTTTTAATTATTAGTGATATATCTTGTTTGAGGTTTAGATTATAAGAACTCTAGATTCTTACAAATGAACTAGCTATTAATTTCTTAATTTTTAAACTATCCAGTGACTTGTGGTTGAAGAACTTGTTACATATTCCTAAATGCATTTTGCATTTAGAAAAGTCGAAATTAATAAGAGTGATAATTATTTAGAACCATTTATGAATTGAATAATTAGTGTGATTATGTATTTCTCTGCCTTATTTCACCTTACTTTCTGGTTTGTGACAGGTCAGCCCATGTAAACATAGATTTAGTCCTGGCGGTCCTAGTATTGTACTATTTCCTGTTAGTCTTCTATGTTTTTCTTTTCGTTTTAGGAGAAAAATGGTTCTCACTAAAATATGTAAAATTTAAAAATATGCCCCTAAAAACAAATAGAAACCTGTAAGTTTTTCTTAATAAAAATGTAGGACATGACAATTATATTGCATAATATAAATTAATTTTGTGTATTTTCTTTCCACAAATACTACATTTGAAATTGAATAAAGCACGTTTGTAAACTACTATTTCTAATAACTCTTTGTTTATGTTTTTGTTGTTTGCCTGTCTTATTTCTTTTTGTTCAAGGCTGTTCTTGCCTTAGCTGCATCCTGGACGTCTAGACAAGTAGGAGAACGGACATTGACTGGTACGGTAATAGACAGTGGAGATGGTGTCACTCATGTCATTCCTGTGGTAAGGATATTTTAAAACTACTGAATAGAACATCAAATGATACATCTGGCAAAGCTAAATTACACAAAGTAATACCACTTTTAAAAAAATTTAAATACTATACCTTAAAAAGTTGTTGTAATTTAACCATTTGTTTGTATAGCTATATTTTGCTCAGATTATTAAAATTTTATAAGCAAATGCCAAAATGCTTCTTTTGCTGTAGGTTTGCACTACAATTAGAAAAATAATGAATTGCAGTATCTGGAATGGAAATATATTGTGGCATCTTAACCATGGAATTCTGTTTTCTGGTTTGAGTGTTTATTAGCCAGTTGATGACCCTTCTTATCCGTAATTGACAGATTTCAGACTGGCACAGAGGTTAACTCCATAGCAGTTGTAAGCAAATGAACTTTAATGGCTCTTGGGGAATTATTTTTTTGAAATAAAAGCTCAGATTATGATTATGCTTTATGGTTTGTGTTTAATAAAGCATCTTAAAACAAATGCATCGGTTTGAATTATTTGTCAGAGATAGCATTTTTCTGCCAAGTCTTTTGTGCTTCCAGTTGTTAATGACAAGTTAGGTTCTTTATCTTATCTAGTAGATTCAAAATGACTGCTAGAATTCATACTGATTATTAGATGGGTGTATAGAGAGAGGTTTACCTTTTTAAATCATTTTTATATTGAATACCATTTAAAGAAAAATTATTTTGACCTTTTGTTTTTTCATTATTCTCATATCTGTTTTTAATGCATCAAGCAATGGTTTACATCTTCAGAGTGACTACCTTGGGAGTAGAATCTTGGTCTCCCTCCACCCTCCTGATGTCTTAGTATTCGTAATAACTGACATTTTTTAATAACAGTTTTATTGAGATACAGTTCATATACCATACAGTCTACCCAGTTAAAGTGTACAATGCATTGTTTTTTACATTTACAGAGTACACTCATCACCACAATCAATTTTATCATCACTCTAAAAAGAAGCCCTGTATCCGTTAGCACTCACTCTGTTTCCCCCAAATCCTCTCAGCCCCTGCCAATCACTAATCTGCTTTCTATCTCTATAGGTTTGCCTATTCTAGACATTTCATATAAATGGGATCATACAATACATGATCTTTTGTGACTGGCTTCTTTCACTTATCATAATGTTTTCAAGATTCATCCATGTTGTATCGTGTATCGGTACTTCATTTCTTTTTATGGCCTAATAATATGCATATATCATGTTTTATTTATCCATTGAGGGGGTATTTTAAGATCTTGTAAATTAGGATATATCTAACATTTGATGGCTTTTTATAGTTTAATTGGCAACATATTTTTCTTTATTAGTGGTACACCAAATAATAGTATTTGAGGTTTAATGAAGTACAGTATCTTCTCATTTAAGTCTTAAAACCAGTGTATGATCTATAGGGTTGTGTTGCTGTGAGTCGGAATCGACTTGACGGCAATGCCATGATCTAGAGTTATTATCCTTTCAGATCCTCCTCAGTTTACTCATTTATAAAATGCAGACTTGTGCCTTGCCTAATGTCACCAAATAACAGATAGTGGGACTGGGACTTGAATTTGATTCAGCCTCACCCTAGTCTTTTCTTAACATCTATACAAGTAAGCAGTGATATCAGTATCTTCATGATTCATATTAGAATAGGTTATTGGCAAATAGAAGTTATCAACATGAAAAAGAATGACTTTTAGTAAGGATATTAAGAATCGATATTCCTAGTCTTTGTTGTCTTTTCCCTCCCTTCTTCCCTTTTTGTGAATCAATGGAGTATTTTTATGATTATATTTTATCTTCTTTTTTGACATATTAGCTATGCTTTATGTCTTTGTTTTTGGTAGTGGTTGCTTTAGAGTTTATAGTAAACTAGGGCTTTGAACCAGTTTGAATTGGTTCAGCCATGGTTGATGAAGTGAAACTAAAACAGTCTCGGATTTTTAAAATTTGAGTGAACTGAAACGATAACCAGAGCAGAAAAAATTACAAGTCGAAGCCCTGGAATGGGAGACTCGGAAGAGGCGTAATGAGCCCTTTCAGGAGCCTGATGTGGGAGATCGGATTATTGAATTATTTGAACATACAACACACAAAGTGGCGCGGTCAGCCACCATCTTTGATCCAGGCACTGCTGTTTGCAACTGCTCAAAATCCCAGGGGCAGGAGATTGGTTGCTATGCAACAGGTAGACTGCCTTTGTTTTCTAAGAGGAAGATTAAGTTTGTAGCAGGGCTGCGACCTTTAATTTTTCCGTTCAGGTTATTGTTCTGGTTCACTCAAATTTTAAAAATTTAAAAAAATTTGAGTGTGTTCTGGTGTCATTTTCCTCAGCCATGATTGCACCAGGCTGAACTGGTTCGAAGACCTGTAGTAAACATCTTTAACTTACCACCATCTAACTTCAAGTAATATTCTACCACTTTATGAATAAGAGCCATAGAACAGTGTACTTCCGTGTTCCTGTCCAGTTTTTGTGCTATTTGTCATTTATTTTGTTTCTACATATTTTAAACCCCATAATACACTATTAGTTTTATTGTAAGTAGTCAGTTACAATAAGAGATTTTAAAAAAGAGATAAAATTCTTTCATATTTAACCTGCATACCATTTCCATTGCTCTTCTTTGCAGACATACAAATTTTTCTCTGATATCATTTTCATTCTGCTTGAATGATATCCTCTAACATTTATTGTAGTGCAGTTTTGCTATGAATTCTATCAAATTTTGTACATCCTTTGAAAGAGTATTTTTCCTTCATTTTTGAGTGATATCTTGCTTGATAGAGAATTATGGGTTGACCGTTTTTTTTCCCCCTTTTAGTATTTTAAAGATGTCTTTCTACACTATCTTCTGGCTTACATTGTTTCCGACAGAAAAGCCTGCTGTCATTCTTATGTTAGTTTCTATGAATATCATGTTTCTTATTTGTCTTGATGCCTTCAAGATTTTCTCTTTATTCGTGGTTCACTAATTTTGAGAAATTTGATTTGGCCCCCCAGAATTCATGTCTTTCCCACGTACAAAACACATTCACCCAATCACACCATCCGAAAGTCTTAAATCAACTCCAAGTCCAAATCTTATCTTCTGAATCATTTAAATCAAATATGGGTGAGACTTCAGGCATATTGCATCCTGGGGCAAAATTCCTCTTCATCTGTGAACCAGTGAAATCTAGAATACCAGTTGTTTGCTTTCCAAGTACAGTGGTGAGACAGGTACAAGATAGATGTTTTCATTACAAATGGGAAAAATTAGAGGGAAAGAAGGGATAATGGGCACCAAGCAAGTCCAAAACCCAGCAGAACAAATTAGTTCTCAAGGCTTGAAAATAATCCTCTGTTCTAAGAGACCATCTGGACAATGGCCCTGCCCTCCATTAGCCATGTTCTCTGATTCTGGGTGTAGACCCCTTGGCTCTGGGTGGAGTCCCCACCTCCCAGGCCCACTGGTATGCAACCTTGCCCTCTCGGGTTTTGGGTGGGGCCCGGTGTCCTAGTCCACCTGAATAGTGAACCTACCCCCTCAGCTCTGGTATGCTTTGTTCTCCTACCCCTTGGGTGTGGCAGCCCTTTTCCCTCAGCTTTGGTCAGTGTCTTAAGTTATCTCCTGCTGCTATAACAGAAATACTACAAGTGAATTTATTCTCTCACAGTCTAGGTGGCTAAAAGTCCGAATTTAGGGCACTAGCTCCAGGGAAGGCTTGCTTTCTCTGCTGGTTCTGGGGGAAGGTCCTTGTCATCTATCTTCCCCTGGTCTAGGAGCTTCTCAGTGCAGTGACCCCAGGTCCAAAGGACATGCTCTGTTGCTGACATTTCTTTCTTGGTGATAAGAGGTCCCTACCCTCTCTGCTTCTGTCTTTTAATTATCTCAAAAGTGATTGACTCAAGGTTCCAGCTAATCCTGTAGATTGTGTCCTGCCTCATTAACATAATTGCCTCTAATCTTGCCTCATTAACGTCATAGAGGTTAGGATTTGCAACACATAGGAAAATTACATCAGATCACAAAATGGTGAACAACCACACAATACTGGGAATCATGGCCTAGCCAAGTTGACACACATTTTGGGGGGATACAATTCAGTCCATAGCAGACGCTGACCCATCTCTTGGGTTATGGGCATGGCAGCTCTGCCTCCTCAGCTTTGGGTAGCAGCTCTATCCTCTTGGCTCACCTAAATGACAACCTCACACTCTGGAGGGAGATTGGACTCTGAAATGTAGGAGGCTGTGGCTCTACCCTTTGAAACCTAGGAGGTCATGACTCCACCCTTTAAAACCCAGTCAGCCCTGCTCCCAGTGTTCCTACCAACAGTTCTGCTGATCTCCGAGCTGCTGCAGGGATGGTCCTTTTCTTTTCTTGGAGGACAACAGATGTAGCTCCTTTGGCCTTTTTCTTACCTGTAGAATTCCAAGAGGCAGACAGCTTTCCTTTCTTTCATCCTGTCTCTTTCCCCTTCAGCCTAAGCTGATGGATTTTCTGCTGTGGTAGTTGCTTAGATCCATCAGTCACAGGCTTAATCTCTTTAACAAAAAATTGAGTCATCAAGTCCTTGGTGAGAGTTTTAGTTACATCCTTAGTTTGTAAAAAAGAATTTTTCAAATCTTTAACTCCTGATTTTATTATACACAGTTCATTTTCCTAAGTCATCTCTTTCTTCTTGTATTTTACTGTAAGTGGCAAGGAGAAATCATTTTGCCCGTTAAGATCTTGCTTAGAAATCTCCTCAGCCGAATACTCAAGGTCATCACTTATAAATTATACCAAACATTTGAACACGATTTAGACAAGTCCTTTGCCACTGCATAAAAAACACCACCCTTCCTCCATTGTCCGATCACATGTTCATCATTGCCTTTTAAAGCCTTACCAGAAGCACATTTAATGTCCACATTTCTAGCAACATTCTGCTGAATGTATTCTCTAAGACAATAGAGACTTTATATAGCTTTCATCACTTCTTTCTGAGCCCTCACCAGAATTGCCTTTGATGTTCATAATTCTACCAACAGTCCTTTCAAAACAGTCTAGGGCCTACTATGAAGCATAGCAAAATTCTTTAAGATTCTACTCATTACCCAATTGCAAAACCACTTCCACATTTTATTTGTTACAGTAGCACCCCACTCCCTGGTACCAAATTCTGTTTTAGTAATCTAGTGCTGCTATAATCTAGTGCAGAAATACAAGTGGTGATTTTAACAAACAAATTTTCCCACAGTTTAGAAGGCTAGAAGTTCGAATTCAGGGCACTGGCTCTTGGGGAAGACTTTCTTTGTTGGCTCTGGGGGAAGGTCCTTATCTTTTTTAGCTTCTTCTCCTCGGTTCCCTGGTGATCTTCATGTGGTCGGTCTATCTTCTTCCATCGCTGCTTGCTTGCTTGCTTGCTCAGTCTGTTCTTTTTATATCTCAAAAGCGATTGACTTAAGACACACTTTACACTGACACTGCCTTATAACGTAACAAAGAACACCCGTTCCCGAATGAGATTGTAACCACAGGTTATAGGGTTAGGATTTACAACACATATTTTTGGGGGACACAATCCAGTCCATAACAGTACCTAAACTGGTTTTATGTTTCTTCCCCTTGATTCACTGGGCATCTTTGATCTCTGGATTTGTGCTTTTCCTCAGATCTGGAAAGTTTTTGTCTATTATTTCTTCAAATGTTTTTTCTATCCCTCCTTTCTTTGAGGACTCCATTTACATATAGAGTTGGCTGTTTGAGGTTGTCTCATAGTTCACTGAAGCTCTTGTTCTTCCTAATCTTTTTTCCTCTCTATGTCATTTTGGAGAGGAAGCCTGGTGGCGTAATAGTTAATTAAGCTTTCCTGCTAACCGAAAGGCTGGTGGTTGGAACCCACAGCTGCTCCTTGGGAGAAAGATGTATCAGTCTGCTACCATAAAGATTACAGCCTTGAAAACCCTGTGGAGCAGTTCTACTCTGTCCCACAGGGTTGCTGCGACTGAATCTGAAGTCAGAATCAACTCGATGGAAGTGGGTTTTTGTTTTTTATTTTTGTTTATATCATTTTAAGTAGTTTCTTCTTCTGCATCTTCAAGTTCACTGATTTTTTGTTTTTTAAATTGTGTAACCTACTGTCATCTCAACCGGTGTAATTTTATTTCAAATATTGTATTTTTCTTTCTAGAAGTCCTATTTGGGATTTTTTATGTCTTCGATTTCTCTCTGTCTCATGCTCGTGTTTCTGTTGACCTTTTTGATCATATGGAGTATATTTTTAACAGTTGTTTTAGTATCCTTGTCTGCTAATGCTGTCATCTTTGTCATTTCTGTGTGTTGTCTATTGATTAATTTTCTCCCAGTCAGGGGTTGTATTTTCCTGCTTCCTTGCAGGCTTGATAATTTTTTTTATAGGATACCATGTGTGCACATTGTTGGGTCTTGGATTTTTGGAGTCCTTTCAATGTTTTAGGCCTTTTTCTTGGGACATAGTTAAGTTACCATGGGTCAGTTTGATCCTTAAAAGGACTCCTTGTAAATGTAATGTCTTAGTCATCTAGTACCGCTATAACAGAAATACCACAAGTGGATGCTTTTAATGAAGAGAAGTTTATTTCCACACAGTCAAAGTAGGCTAAAAGTCCAATTTCAGGGTGTCAGCTCCAGGGGAAGGCTTTTCCTCTCCGTCAGCCTTCTCTTCGGTGTTCCCCCAGACTAGGAGCTTCTCTGCACAGGGACCCCAGTCCAAAGGACGCACTCTGCTCCGGGCACTACTTTCTTGATGGTATGAGGTCCCTCTGTCTCACTGCTCACTTCTGTCTTTTGTATCTCAAGAGATTGCCTCAGGACACAATCCAGTCTTGTAGATCCAGTCCTGCCTTACTAACACAACTGCCAGCCATCCTCCCTCATTAACATCATAGAGGCAGGTTTACAACATACAGGAAAATCACACAGAACTAGGAATCCTGGCCTAGCCAGATTGGTACACACATTTTTTGGGGTGACATAATTCAAACCATGACATGTAATTAAGCACGTCTACCAGCCTTTAATCTAGGGTTAGTTTGTCCCCACTATTGAGGCAATACCCTTCTGAGGACTCCACTTGATGCCCTGTGTTTTTCAGTTTTCTCTTTAAGGCAAGAGAGTAAATCATCCCTGTAATAGTTTATCATGAACAGATGACATTCCCAATATTCTGTGTTAGTGAAATATAATTTTGCTACATTATTTGTTGTACTTCTGATCTGTATCAATAAATTTATGAACCAATTCTATGGAATTTACTATTTGACATTATGATGGTACATGGGCTGCTTCAGGCTTGTGAAATGGGTGCCTACTTCAGTAGGAAGAATAATTGCCACTTTGTGGGCTTTTGATCATATTCCTACAATGCATTATAAACTTTTTACTAAAATTATAATAGATTTAAATATAATACCATATCTGATAAAGAGTCAGCTATCTGAGACATTTAATACTTACCTTTTCAAATTCATTATGTGTATATTGTTTAGTCATTTCAGTCATGATTATAAACACTTGTCAGTGAGATACTAAATCTAAGTTGCTGGCCGTTCATAATTTTTGTACAGTAATATAAATTGATAAGTGTGAGGAATACAGTTGAACTAAAAGAATTCTAAGGTAATGCCTACATTAATGTGGAAAATTGCTCTTTAATTTTTTTAGGCTTATTAATTTTCAAAATACTAAAAATAAATTTGGCCTTTTTTTTTTTTTTTGGTCTAGGCAGAAGGATATGTGATTGGCAGCTGTATTAAGCACATTCCAATTGCAGGACGAGATATAACATATTTTATTCAGCAGCTGCTGAGAGATCGAGAAGTAGGAATCCCTCCAGAACAATCCCTGGAAACTGCTAAGGCAGTGAAGGTAAAAAAATAGTGATGGAAATGTAATTCAGTTAAAAATTAAATTCACAGAACATTAACATGAAACGTTCTCAAGTGAAAAAAAAACTTAAAACATATCTTCTGTTAGCTTGTTACAAATCATTATTCTTAATTATGTAAGTTTTTTCTATATTTCTTGCATGTAAATTATTGGGGAATGTCAATCCTTTGCCTGTTTCCTCCTCACTTCACATTTGTGAGGACTAACATAACATTTATAACAAATGACTTTAATACACACTCTTGTGATTATTCCCTTCAGTAAAAATTTATAAGTATTTCACTACAGAGCCAAGCAATATATTAAATAGAAGAAAAATGTGAATGCTATGTAAGATATTTTAATGATTAGTCTCCCGTATAAATCTATTATATAAATGCTTCATGCAGTGTGTCAAAATACTTAGCATTCCTTTTCAAAGTTATCATTTACCAGCGTACTTATCAAATTTCAGTGGGTTTCTCACATGTTTTGAATATGTAAAAGCAAAACTGCACAGCAGAGAATATCTTCATTTATTCGCCTCCCTTTGTGTATTTATAGAGTTTTCTATTGCTCTTCAGAGATTAGGAGAAAATGAGATGACTACTACCTAGGCAGGAAAGAAATGATCTCAATGGCTGCTAGGATTCACCCCACGTTGGTGGAATAAAAATTAAATATGCAAAAAATTAATATGAAGACTACTGTTTGAATACCCTTGGCATATCTATGAAGTTTAAAAAAAACAAAAATACATGAGACATTTAAATATTCCAGAGAAGACTGGTTCTTAATTTGAATTAATGTCTTTTAAGGATCATTTCCATGTAATTCCCATTCCCAAGGTTTAGAGAAAGAAGACCTAATATAGCACAAGAAAACCACCCTTCATTTGTCAATATTATTTCTCTTTTTGTCTTTTCATAATCAGTAGTAATATTTGCATTTATTTTGGGTAGAGTCCTTGATGCAGAAAAATATGAAACGTGTAATTTGTTTTTTTTTGAATGAGACTAGCACTCAGGAGTTTATATAATGTTATAACCTGTAACATTTTGAATTGCATTTTTGGTGAAAACTTTTACTTAGTACATATAATATGCAATAATTCAGTCTTACATATTATAAAGTAAAATGGAATCATTTGTATTTTCAGCTGTTTCATTACTCATTTATTTAGACCTTGATTGATTTTGTTCCAGATAGGGATTAAGGGTCTATATTAATTTGTGTGATTGTACTTACTAAAATACAAGTTTCATTATTACTAAAACAGTATAAAATGTTGGATGACATTAATGAATGTTTTCATGAAACAACATTGAAAAAGTAGAAATTAGCTAGTCTTTCAAATCTTACTCTGTTGATGTATGAAGTCAGAAATTCTGTGTATAAGATGAGCTTTTTATTTATACTACACATGATGTTAATACCCTAATATAAAATTGTGCTCCACCTTAATTTCTTGAATTTATTTTCTGTAGATATTTTTTCATTTGATTCTAGATTATTGAAAATACGTAATCCTTTTTTACTTTCCCTAAAACAAGAGGAGAAAATTACTTTTGTGTCTTTGTTTTTCTAGGAGCGCTATAGTTATGTCTGCCCAGATTTAGTAAAAGAATTTAACAAGTATGACACAGATGGATCAAAGTGGATTAAACAGTATACTGGAATCAATGCTATCTCAAAGAAAGAATTTTCCATTGATGTTGGTTATGAGAGATTCTTGGGACCTGAAATCTTTTTTCATCCAGAGGTAAGTTTTCCTGGATTAGAATTGTTTTGAAATATTCAACAGAGAATTTCAAGTAGAAGATATTCAAAGAGAATTAATCTCAGAAACTCTCTTCCATATACTAAAATACTATAGTGAGTCCATGAAATGGTAGTAGTAGCATCAGAATCTATCTAAATTCCCAAGGGGGAATGATGAGAGTTACCATCAGTACAAAGGTGATTCCTGAGGTGGAGGTCAAACATACTGCCCACTCTCCAACCCTTTTGCCAGTTTTGACACCAGCTGTCATACCCATGGCACTCCTTGCTTCTCTGCTGAGTTCGATAATTTGTTGCAGTGGCTACAGAGAACTCACAGACCATACTTACTTTTACAGTTAAGTGGTTTATTAAGGAAGTAACAGGCTCAACTCAGGATCAGGAATCATGTAGGCAAAGTCTGGAAGGCTCCCCTGAAGAGTCGAGCACATCTCTCCCTTCTTCAGTGAAGGAGAGCTCTCTCAGCTCTTCTCGGCTGTGCAAATAAGCAGGTGCTTTCTCTGCTGTGCACACCCTGTCTCAGCCATGCAGGCCTCTCAGCCCCTTGAGAACAGGCCTCTTCTCTGGCCTCCTCTCGGCCCTGTCAGGACAAGTACCTCTTGGTCCCCTCAGGACAGTCTTCCTTTTGGCCATGTACGTTCTACCCACGCCCCTAGCCATGCAGGCCTCTCTTCCTTTGACCTCCCTGCTGTCATCCTCTCCATTGCTAACTGACCCAGCTCATAGCCAGTGTAGCAATTTTATTCAGCTCTCTTAGCTGCATTCCTGGTAGTGAATTTCTGTTGTCACAACCAACTCTGCTGCAGAGCCCCTTCCAGGCCTCTCACTGTCTTCAGTGTAACAGCTCTTCACCCATGTTGCAGCTCTTTTAGGAGGTTCCTTGCCTCCTCTCTCTGTTGCTTCTCTCTTCTTTCCTTTCTTTGCCGTTTTTCCTTTCCTGCTGCTTTCTTCTTAGTCTGCTTCCTCTGTAGGGTTGGCCGCATATATAAGAAAACTCCTGGTCAATTTTAAGGCGTGGCCCTCCCACCACGGCAGCAAACTGGCCAGTCTCCTCTTGGTAGGCCACAGACACTTCCTTTGCATAAGTATATTGACCAATCCCTGCAAAGTCATAAAGTAGACCAATCACGGTGCAGGCTGCAGCCCAGGGCCAGACAAAAAGTATCAAACCTCAGGTTGTTTATAGCTTACCCAGGAAATGTCAGTCAGCATGGACAAAAGTAACAAAGCCTTTAGGGTAGAAAAGTAGGGCAAATGTAACTGCTCAGGACATACGGGAAAAATTTTTGAAGGTGTTTTTCCAGAGAACCAAGGCAAAAGGCCACATAAAGGAACTCATTTCACCACAGAGTCATATTTTTCAAGTGAAAACGGCCTTTGTTAAAACAGGTTAACATAGTGGGAAGAAGAAAAAACAAGTTCCCATTGAGTTGACCTCAACTTTATGGTGACCCCATGTGTGTCAGAGTAGAACTGTGCTCTGTAAGGTGTTCTTTTAGTTTTATTTATTTTGTTGTTGAGAATATATACAGCAAAACATTCACCAATGGTCTTTTTTTGTGAGTTTGAATTTTGAGAACAGTTGTTTTTTAATATCGCTTATACATTAAGCAGATATTAAGTTGATACCATTTTCATGGTATCAGTTTAAGTATTAGGTATTCAAAGATGAAAAACTATTTTGCTCTTAAGGAGTTCAAAGAATAAGATGAATATCTAAACAGATATAATTGCTTTAATGAATGCGTGTGTTTGGTGAGGGAATAGGAATAAAGAACATCTAAGTTGGCTTGGGAGAACCAGAGAAACTTCTTAGAGGAGGTAACAATTGAGCTGAGACTTAAACGATGAAGGGGTATTTGCCAGGCAGGTAAGGTAGGAGAGTATATTTCTGGCAGAGGAGATAAACTGGGCAGAAGTCTGGGACATGAGAGAGCTAGATGATAAAAATGTAAAGTGAGGGGGTAATAGCTGATGGATCTGCATAGTTGTTCGTGAACATGAGGGATCACGATCATGAGGGACTTAATATATTATGCAAGGGAGTTTGCTGGTTTCCGTAGTCATGCAGAAATCTTCAGCATGGAAGTGACATAGATTCATGTACAATATTACAAAGATCACTGGCAGCATTAGGTTGAATCGATTGGAACAGAGCTGTGAATTGATTTGGAGACAGGTGAGTTTTTTGCCTGTTTCCAGATGAAAAATGAATAATATCTAAAGTAGGTCAATTAGAATGAGAAAGGTGGTAGGAAAAAAAAAAAAAAGAATCAACAGGACTTAGTGATTGCTTAGATGTGAGAGGAGTAAGAATAGGAAGATTTTGATGATCCCAGGTTTATAACTTTAACTAGATATTGTGCTAGCCACTAAAATTAAGAATTCTGAATGGCAGGAGTAGGTAAAGTAGAAATAGGAGATGATTTTATTTTACATTTTTAAAATGGTGCAAAATGAGTTATATGTCCTGGAGTGAGTATAAATGTGAAGTCATCACCATATATGTGGCAAAGGAAGAGATTGACTGGGGAAGAGGACATGGAGTGGGAAGAAGATGAAGAATGAGGCCTTAGTGAAGACCAACATTTAATGGATAGGCAGAGTAAGAGGAGTCTGCAAAGAATATTGAAGGATGCAGAGAGGTAGAAGCCAAGTCAAAGAGTTGTGGTCATAAAATTGAGAGAAGTGAATGTTTCAAGGAGGTGAGGTTAAGTAGTGCCAGTTGCTGTCTTGAGGTAATATTAGAGGAAATCTGAGAAGTACTTATGGGTTTTTAGCACCCAAGTTATTGGTTATCCTAGCAATTTCAGTGGAATTGTATGATAGAGGCATCATGTTGAATCAGTGAGAGGTGAAGGATTGGAAATAGTTTGAACATTCTCAGAGGTAAATATGAAAGAAAACCGTGGTGGCTACTGGGCAGTAGTAAGAAGTCAGTTGCAATAAGACTAGTTTTTTAAGAGGGGTTACTCCAGTGACAGGAAGTAAGGTGTTAACTATGGTGCAGGAAAATGTAGAGTTGGGGGGAGGGCAAAGAAGCAGACAGGTAGTTGAGGAGGAAGTTCATTATCCTAGTCCATAGTTTTAATTTTTTCCGTGAAGTAAAATCAAGCTGATGTGTTGGGAGAAGGGATTGAACATAAAGTTGAGGCCTTGGAGAGCGTAGTGTATTTTATAATTCTACTGAGAGGATTGAGAAAGTGACTGAGGAATGCATATTAATAGCATTGGGGTACCACTGAGGTGGTTATTGTTGTTACGTGCCATTGAGTCAGTCTGACTCACAGTGACCCTGTGTACAACAACAGAACGAAACACTGTCCGGTTCTGCACCATCCTCACAATCATTGCTGTGCTCCAGCCCATCCTCGCAGCAATTGTGTCAGTCCATCTCCTTGAGGGTCTTCCTGTTTTTCACTAACCCTCTACTTTACCAAGCATGATGTCCTTCTCCAGGGACTGGTCCCTCCTGATAACATGTCCAGAGTACATGAGACAGTGTCTCGTCACTCACTTCTAAGGAGCATTCTGGCTGTACTTATTCCAAGATGGATTTGTTCATTCTTCCGGCGGTCCATGGTATATTCAGTATTGTTCAGCAACACTGTAATTCAAAGACGTCAATTTTTCTTCAGTCTTCTTTATTCATTGTCCAGCTTTCACACGCAAACGAGATGATTGAAAATACTGTGGCTTGGGTCAGGTGCACCTTAGTCCTCAAAGTGACATCTTTGCTTTTTAACACTTTAAAGAGGTGTTTCGCAGCAGATATGCCCAACGTTGTTTGATTTCTTGATTGCTGCTTCCATGGGTGTTGATTGTGGATCCAAGTAAAATGAAATCCTTGGCAACGTCAGTTTTTTCTCCATTTATCATGATGTTGCTTATTGGTCTAGTTGTGAGAATTTTTGTTTTCTTTATGTTGAGATGTGATCCATCCACTGAGGTTAGGTACCCTAAATTTTTAGTTGTTCAGTAGTATCTTTTCCTCCAGGCGTTGTGGGGAAGGAGCTGAGGGTTTTGACAAGGCAGAGGTTTAAAGTGTTGTCGCATTGGCTGGGGGTGGGGGTGGGGTGGAGTGGGGGATGATGACAAATCTGGAAGGCTGAATAGAGATAGCAACGCAGGCAGGGATTGGAGGTTATGGTAATTGAGATATAAATTGGGAAAAAAGGAGTGAGCCCCAGAAGGAAAAGGAATTATGGTTAGACTGGTATACTGGAGTTTTATTTTAAGGTTTTAGAGGGTATATTTTCTTTGTTAAGTATTTTAAAAAAATAGAAATTAATTGAAAGATATATGCACATAATTTTCAATGTCAAATAAAACCAACAGACCTAACAACAAAATGCTGCTTTTCTCCCCCTTTGTGTTTTGAGAGCAACCCCTCTGATCTCCTTTAGCTGTTGCTCTTCAATCATCTCCAGTTTTCTAGTTCTATATACTGTACTCATGTTGCTGTTTCTTGATATCTAAACATTAGTAGTTTATCTGCTAACATTATTTTGGGTTAGTTGAGTTTTTCTAGACCCTGTTTCCCCCCAACCAGTCCATATGTTAGGTTATAGTTACTGAGAAAATCAATGGTATTACAGGATTTATGGTATTATACCTGTGACTTTAGTTCACTACTGACGTTAGTAGTGTAATGTGATTACTTCTTTTTCTCATAAAGTATAGCTTTTTCTAAACTTTTGCCTTGTTTTTAAATTTGCTTTGTTTTCTGTTTGTTCATTCTTTCATTTATTCATTGGAGTCGGAATTAATTGCCTAGTTATACAAAGTCAGGAAGGGAACCTGGAAATCTCAGTATTCCATACAGAAAACTTTTAACAGTTTCTTTTTTTAAAACCCTGTTTTACCTTTCCTTGTGTGGTTTCTTATACCTTCAAGTCCTGGAACTTTTGAAGGTTCTACAGGGTGAATTGATTCACTTACCAATATGCCCGTCTGGTAGTGCTTAGGATGTAACATTCC